CCTTCCCCTCCCCCTTGCATTCAGTCACTACACGGTTAATGGTCCTGGAAGGGAGCGCAGACCCCCAGTAACCAGGCAGACGGAGGGGGGGTCACATGGCGTGTGATGTATCGGTAATGACACGTGCCATGAATATATAATACGGCCAGTTATTGGCGTGCACACCAAGCTGGCCCGGAGGCTGCAGATTCCTGCGGACGGCAACTGGTGGCGGCGGCGGCACAGGGAGAGCGCGGGGGATGCCATACACAATGGAGAGGGTGACAAATGACGCGCTGCACTTTATTGTGTCACACATTGGGTGAATGTCGGCCGGTGAAGGTTTGCCTGTCGGCCGCACATTGTGTGGTGTCAGGGAGGCGCAGGCCCAATGGAGGACAAATGTTGGGCTGGGAAGGGGGGGGCAGATTTGTTACAGGGGCAACTTTTACATTTTACACATCTGTCGAATTTCTTTTTCTGGTCCCGACAAGTAAAACTCCAGTTTTGTTCAACAATTAACAATTCCAGATTCTTACCCGCATCTGTTCTGTAAATACTGACATGAACCAAGACAGTCCCCTTGCTGAAATCATTCTAAGTGGGGTGGAGGGGGGGTTGTGCCTTTAAAAAGAAGCAAACCCTGGCTGGATGGCATTTGGTTTGCCCTGTGCCCGGGCTGCTGATCTCCTCCAGCCACTTCCTGTCTACAGGTACTCCAGCGATGGCTGGATGGCATTTGGTTTGCCCTGTGCCCGGGCTGCTGATCTCCTCCAGCCACTTCCTGTCTACAGGTACTCCAGCGGTGGCTGGATGGCATTTGGTTTGCTCTGTGCCGTGGGCTGCTGATCCCCTCCAGCCACTTCCTGTCTTCCTGCACTCCAGCGGTGGCTGGATGGCATTTGGTTTGCTCTGTGCCGTGGGCTGCTGATCCCCTCCAGCCACTTCCTGTCTTCCTGCACTCCAGCGGTGGCTGGATGGCATTTGGTTTGCTCTGTGCCGTGGGCTGCTGATCCCCTCCAGCCACTTCCTGTCTTCCTGCACTCCAGCGGTGGCTGGATGGCATTTGGTTTGCTCTGTGCCCTGGGCTGCTGATCCCCTCCAGCCACTTCCTGTCTACAGGCACTCCAGCGATGGCAGCCGTGGCATTCCTCAGGACGGGTTTCCTGAGGGTGACAACAGTGGGCCATGTCTGTGTAACGTGTGTTGATAAAGCTCGTGTGACAGGGTGACAACGCAGGAGTGCAATTGGGAGATTGTTGTCACCCTATAACAGGAAGTGCCTGAACGAGGACCTCCATGGTGGGATCACCGGGGACTGTTTTAATGAAAGTTGCAGGTTGAATAATATTGAAAATGACATTTGTTGTGTTAGTTGTGTTACATGGACCAGGCAGCCTCATCTGGTGACACATTCTGACATCGTCTCCCTTTCTTTTCCCTTTTTCTTGTCTTTCATGGAACGTCTTCCTGGCGGCTCAGATCCCACAAATGGAACTGACGCGTTGGGGTTTGATGGGCAAGGTGACGACTCGTACCAGCGGCCAGCGGCAGAGATTCTGGCCTCTCTGCTGGAAAAGGGAGTGCTGGACGTGGACAAGGTGACGGCCAGGAGGGCCGGATCTGCTGGAGAAGACTCCTTCTTGGACAGTAAATCCCGGACTGGATCCAAGGCCCAGAAGCCTGCGGGGTCTCCTGGTGTGGTGTCACCTTCACAAGCTCCTACCGGCCAAGCCAACGGGCTGGCATCCACCGAGGGTGCGGCAAAGTACGGCTCACCGAGGATCAGTGCGGACAATAAGTCATCGGACTGCGTCGGTTGTCATGACGACGTTTATGCCAACAGGAAGTCTCCATCCCGGTCCTTGCTCTCCGAGCGTAGCGACGGGAAAGAGGAACCCGTTACTAGCTTTGTGTGGCCGGTTGGCCAAGGGACGGTTGACTTGGAGTTCAGAAAGAGCTTTGCCAAAGGAGATAGACCTTCCGTGGCGGAGAGCCAGGAAGACTCCGGGAGCGGTGACCCTCATGTTAAGATGCCGCCAAGCCAGGTCACCCATGCCAGCGCCTCGGAAACCGAGTGGAACTTACGGGACTTCATGGATGTGGCCACCTTATCACCTTCTCAGACGTCGACCGCCTGGAGCAACGCCATGCTGAGCCCATCTACGGAGAAAGCCATCAGCCCGGACTCTGCCGAAATTGACCACCTCCTGCAAGTGCCCGGAGAGACGTCCGTGCAGTCGCCACCGCCTTCAGGTACTGAGCCCGGCCGCGACGGCCTTCACGAGTCCCAGAAGGGGGTCGGTTATGAGGCAGGGAACTCTCAGGGACCGTTCACCGCTCCGGAGAAAGATTCGAGGCAGACCGCAGAGCAGGGAGCTCAAGGGAGCACCGACGTAACGGTGGTCACCGAAAAAGCCCAAGTAGATATTTCTTCTACCGGCGTCCCGCCGAAACCCTCCGAGCCCCCGTCTGACCTCACAGACATAGACTACAGGGACCCCTCTGACTTAGACGACCACTTGGGCTACCCTCCGGGCGGCGACTCCACCAAGGGCTTCCACGACAAGCTGGGCCCCTGGCACAAGCACTTGCATTACGATGACTTCTCTCCTTTTGACTACCTTTACCCCACCCCTCCTTTCTACGCAGATGGATACGAGGAGGGGGGGATTGAAGACGACGACGACGACGAGGACGATCTGGAGGACGACGACGACGGCGTGACCGCTAAAGACGTGCGGAACTTCCCCAAGGGGGCGACTCTGAAGGTACACACCCCCACGCTGGACGAGAAGCCCACCGGGCGCCAAGACTTCCCCTTCCGCGGCGAGACGTACCCCAGGCCTCACCCGGAGGTGATCAAGGACCAAACGCAGACCATGTCGGGGACGGGCGAGAACGGGACGGAGTGCCGCAGCGGCTACGTGAGACGCAACAGTTCCTGCAAGTCGCTGTGCGAGGTCTACCCCACCTACTGCTACAACGGGGGTCAGTGCTACATTGTGGAGAACATCGGGGCCTATTGCAGGTAAGACGTTCTATCTTCACTTGGTAGCCCTCCTGTATTCAGAACAATTTGGGGGTCTGAGCCCCTATCTGAAATCAGCCGTGCTGAGATGGAGTTCTGGTTGAGGAATGGACTCCCAGACATCACTGCCTAATTCCAGGAGCAGCTGCCCCCCATCACTCCCGTAGCAGCTGCTCTCCCCCTTATCCTGGGTGTATTCAGATAAGGGCTCAGGCCTCACACAGCCCTCCCCAGTACATGTCAATGAGCCGAGGGCTGCAAATCAGCAAGAAACAGTGAAAGTGCAAAGCAGAACCTGCAGAACCTTTTTTAATTCTTTTGGGGCCTCAAACAGAACTCCACCGGGCTTACAGGGCTGTGTAAGCTCCGCCCCCATGGGGACAGCGCTGAGCGCCTGAGCAGCCAATTGGCAAGCACCGGTGCTGTCACATGAGAGGAAGCGGACTAACGCACATGCGCCTCCATACTAGGAAGTACCGTCATCTCTCTTTATACTGCCAGGGCGGGGCGGGTGAAGGAAATCTGAGTATTTGCCCCCAGCGTAGGGTGACTGTTAGGTAAACCGGTTGCTCTGCCCTGCGTGGGCTCTGTAAGGGGTTCACTGTAAATCCCTCCCTGGTCTGGTGTGTCGTCATCTCTGTGCACGACGAGCCCCTTCCTTTGTCTGCCACAAGGATGAGGCTCTCTCTTCTGGATTTCTCCATTTATTTTATGTCACAGGGAATGCAGCAGCAGGGGGTGAGACTCCTGGGTGGTGTTGCATGCATTAGTAAGGGCTCATTCAGCCCCGCGCATTGTAGTAACGTGCATGAGCGCATGACATGATGATGTACAGTCCAAGGTGTGTCAGCATCCAACGCACCCGTGCTGCAACGCACCAGGGCGTACGTGCCGTGTGCCGCGTTAAATAAAAGAGGTCACGTCTGCTTGTTCATGCATTGAGGCAATCCATGCAGAGCACCCTAACGCATTCACATCGTGTGAATGGGCCCCAAGGAAGCTCTGCTGGAGTGATGGGCAAGCCGCGGCTCATTTGGCCCCCAGCAATGACCTTCACTTCCCCAATCCTCCGTTATAATGAGGGCAGATGGAGGATGGATGGAGATGAAAGGAGAATGCCGGGAGACCCCACAGTATCCGTGCGTCACGTATGTACGGTGTGTACGGTGCGTAGACGTGACATTCCTGTGTGCTCGGATGACAGCTGTTGGTGTCCCGGAATCTGCCTGGCGTGACTCTATGGATCCATTGATTTCCATAACAATTGGGATTAATGTGTGAATGGGCGTCGGGGGAGCGGCGGAGGGGCGGCGGAGGGCAGGATAATGACAGATGTCCTCGTTCATTCTGTTAATGACCTCCGACTGATCGCAGAGTCCCCCAGCCAGCTGTCCCCGAATCTGGCCCGCC